TGATGGGTGAACACGGACAGCAAGTGTCTTAAGGAAACATGTCCTAATGTTTTCCAGCCATACTGAGGACTGATCCCTGGTCCTGAGTGTGTGAGCTGAGTGCGCTAGTGATCCAGCCGAAACAATACACAAGTAACTCACGAAATCTTAATGGAGTTTTATGACTCTCTGATCGCAGGTTCTATCCCCGCCTGTAGTATGGCTTAATACATAAATAACCAACCCAAGCGTTAATATTAAGACTTGTTACACAGTGAACTCTTATAAGATTTATCCACAACTATATAATACATATTATGAAGAGCTTATCACGCGACATTGATTCTGGACCAACTTTTTCAATCAAATATACAAAGAATCTCACTGTAAAGAGGAGCTTTATAAGGGGACTTACTGTATATAATCACAAACTATAAATGATTATTTTAATACCAATGACAAGATTGTAGGAAATGATAAATTTGATGCAAGTGTTTGTAGTTTCATACAAAATAAAGATATTCATTAACCCTGACAAACGTTTCATCCATGTGTTTAAAAGAAATTAGTGCACTATTGCATTTACAAATACATAAATACTGCTGACTGGTTGACCAGGCCAGTACCAGACGAGCCTGGTTGACCAGGCTAGTACCAGATGAGCCTGGTTGACCAGGCCAGTACCAGACGAACCTGGTTGACCAGGCCAGTACCAGACGAGCCTGGTTGACCAGGCCAGTACCAGACGAACCTGGTTGACCAGGCCAGTACCAGATGAGCCTGGTTGACCAGGCCAGTACCAGACGAACCTGGTTGACCAGGCCAGTACCAGACGAGCCTAGTTGACCAGGCCAGTACCAGACGAGCCAAGTTGACCAGGCCAGTACCAGACGAGCCTGGTTGACCAGGCTAGTACCAGATGAGCCTGGCCATGGCTCATCAAAGGTATATCAAAGGTAATGGTACTGCACTAACAATGTTAACATCTAGTGAACAACGACTGAGTTGAAACCCAACAGAAACGAGGAACACTGGAAAGAGGATGACTACGTGGGGACCTCCTGTATTCAAGAAACACAAATCCCTTAGAATTCAAGAGAGACGGAGACAACACAGCCAAACAAGTAGCACCTGGACTAGATATATGAAATTGCAGTAACTTCTGTTATAAAACTATCCTGCAATATTTTGCAAATACAGTGGACCCTCGCCTAACGAACGCATCACATAATGTTAAATTCGCCTAACGATACATTTTAACGCTAACATTTTGCCTCAGCTAACGCTAAAAAACTCGCCTAACGATATTCATTCTCAGGTACCAATTAATATCGTTAGGTGAGGGTCCACTGTACAATTAAAAAAAAGTACACCTACCATCCAACTTACGACCGAGTTCGGTTCCGAGAAACCGGTCGTAAGTCGAAATGGTCGTAAGTCGAACTTTACTACTGAATATCAACAAAACATTTTTGTAATGACTTTATTTTGTTTTATTTTGGTATTTCATGTTTTACTTTACTTTTTATGTTGTTAGTACTGTGTTTTATACTGTAAGGTTTAGCATAAACACTGTGTACAACACAAATACTTGTTTATTTCCCAGAAATTTGGCATAAAAAACACGGTCGTAAGTCCAGTGTTCGTAAGTCGAGCAGGTCGTAAGTCGGATGGTAGGTGTTTACCTGGAGTTTACCTGGAGAGAGTTCTGGGGGTCAACGCCCCTGCGGCCCGGTCTGTGACCAGGCCTCCTGGTGGATCAGAGCCTGATCAACCAGGCTGTTGCTGCTGGCTGCACGCAAACCAACGTACGAGCCACAGCCCGGCTGATCAGGAACTGACTTTAGGTGCTTGTCCAGTGCCAGCTTGAAGACTGCCAGGGGTCTGTTGGTAATCCCCCATATGTATGCTGGGAGGCAGTTGAACAGTCTCGGGCCCCTGACACTTATTGTATGGTCTCTTAACATGCTAGTGACACCCCTGTTTTTCATTGGGGGGATGGTGCATCGTCTGCCAAGTCTTTTGCTTTCGTAGTGAGTGATTTTCGTGTGCAAGTTCGGTACTAGTCCCTCTAGGATTTTCCAGGTGTATATAATCATGTATCTCTCCCTCCTGCGTTCCAGGGAATACAGGTTTAGGAACCTCAAGCGCTCCCAGTAATTGAGGTGTTTTATCTCCGTTATGCGCGCCGTGAAAGTTCTCTGTACATTTTCTAGGTCGGCAATTTCACCTGCCTTGAAAGGTGCTGTTAGTGTGCAGTAATATTCCAGCCTAGATAGAACAAGTGACCTGAAGAGTGTCATCATGGGCTTGGTCTCCCTAGTTTTGAAGGTTCTCATTATCCATCCTGTCATTTTTCTAGCAGATGCGATTGATACAATGTTATGGTCCTTGAAGGTGAGATCCTCCGACATGATCACTCCCAGGTCTTTGACGTTGGTGTTTCGCTCTATTTTGTGGCCAGAATTTGTTTTGTACTCTGATGAAGATTTAATTTCCTCATGTTTACCATATCTGAGTAATTGAAATTTCTCATCGTTGAACTTCATATTGTTTTCTGCAGCCCACTGAAAGATTTGGTTTATGTCCGCCTGGAGCCTTGCAGTGTCTGCAATGGAAGACACTGTCATGCAGATTCGGGTGTCATCTGCAAAGGAAGACACGGTGCTGTGGCTGACATCCTTGTCTATGTCGGATATGAGGATGAGGAACAAGATGGGAGCGATTACTGTGCCTTGTGGAACAGAGCTTTTCACCGTAGCTGCCTCGGACTTTACTCTGTTGACGACTACTCTCTGTGTTCTGTTAGTGAGGAAATTATAGATCCATCGACCGACTTTTCCTGTTATTCCTTTAGCACGCATTTTGTGTGCTATTACGCCATGGTCACACTTGTCGAAGGCTTTTGCAAAGTCTGTATATATTACATCTGCATTCTTTTTGTCTTCTAGTGCATTTAGGACCTTGTCGTAATGATCCAATAGTTGAGACAGACAGGAGCGACCTGTTCTAAACCCATGTTGCCCTGGGTGTACATTCAAAATTGAACAGAGCATGAAAATACCTTCATAGTAAGTACTACTTCTATTTCAAGCAATTTTTCAATAGCATTTGCAAAATTTGCACTGTATAAAAAAGTGCAAATTGCCACTATTATGAACACTCAATACACCTTGGAAAAAAAACTTAGATCAATGTGAAATTCAGTTCTGAATGCAATTGTTCAACACCATTTGCGAAAATTTACACTATATCTACCATCCGACTTACGACCTGCTCGACTTACGACCACTCGATTTACGACCACTCGACTTACGACCGTGTTTTTTATGCCAAATATCTGGGAAATAAACAAGTATTTGTGTTGTACACAGTGTTTATCCTAAACCTTACAGTATAAAATACAGTACTAACAACATAAAAAGTAAAGTAAAACATGAAATACCAAAATAAAACAATAAAATAAAGTCAGTACAAAAATGTTTTGTTGATATTGAGTAGTAAAGTTTGACTTACGACCATTTCGACTTACGACCGGTTTCTCGGAACCGAACTCGGTCATAAGTCGGATGGTAGGTGTATATATGTACAATTTTCCACTATCACACACACTTTGCATACCTTGAAGAGCCCAAAATGTTCTTCATAACTCTGGGTTTCTGCCACACACACACACACACACACACACACACACACACACACAGCACACAACACACACACACCACACACACACACACACCCACACACACACAACACACACACACAACACACACCACACACACACACACACACACACACACACACACTCACACACACACACACACACACAACACACACACACACACACACACACACACACACACACACACACAACACACACACAACACACCACAAAACACAACACACACACACACCACAAACACACACACACACACAAAACACACACACACACACACACACACAACACACAAAAACACACACACACACACACACACACACACACACACAACACACACACACACACACACACACACACACACACACACACACACACACACAACACACACACACACCACACACACACACACACACACACACACACACACACACACACACACACACAAAACACACACACACACACACACACACACACAACACACACACACACAACACACACACACACACACACACACACACACACACACACAAACACCCCCACACCACACACACACACACACACACAACACACACACACACACACACACACACACACAACACACACACACACACACACACACACACACACACACACACACACACAACACACACACAACACACACACACACAACACACACACACACACACACACACACACACACACACACACACACACACACACACACACACCCCACACACACACACAAAACACACACACAACACACACACACACACACACACACACACACACACACAACAAACACAACACAACCACACACACCACACACACACACACACACACACACACACACACACAAAGCACCAATCTCTCTACAAACATTCTATCAGGCTGAAATAAAATATTTTTTTCCTTATTATTAATTATAGATCTAGGTGAATTTTAAGAGGCGCTCAAAAAAGTACAAATATAGTAGTGCCCGGGTATCCTCAGGGGATACATTCCAAGACCTACTGTGGATGCCCGAAACTGTGGATAGTAGCCAACCCTATATACCTTTGAAGAGTTTCGAGAGTTTCACATACCCATGATAAAGTTTAATTGATAACTTACACAATAAGTAAACAACTGACACTTTTTCACTGATGGGAAGCACTTGACGGCTTCTCTTAGACTTTGAGGAGCTACCACCATCACTACTTTTGTGCTTTGGTGTCATAATTAAGTGAAATTAAAGGTAAACCTTGGATACCTGAATCCGTGGAATTGAATCTGCAGATACAGGGGTTATACTGTATAGTTCCTCTATACAAAAGAGGCAGTAGAGTATGTTATTAGCAAGTACCTGTTGGTCTATCCATGGCAACAACGATGTCATCAGTGACATCAAGTGGATCGTCCAACTTGGAACCCTCAGCTGAATCAGTCTTGGGACCTTCGTCCTCTGACATATAGATACTCAGGAACTGACATATATCAGGCAGGGCCATGCTTGCTATCTTCCTTCCTCCATTAACCCGCTGTCTGAAGGAACCAAAGACAACGTTAATTATGCAGTGAGTGAACATTTTTTCAATATTTAATTCACACACTATTAACCAACCTCGACTCATTAACCAAGACTTTATAATGATATACCATGAACCAAAACATTAAATAATGTGTAGTACTGTCCAAATATTGAGCTCCATCACGGCCAAGTAAGTTTATTGAGGTACAGGTATACATAATTACAATTATCATACATAATGTAAATTACCCACCTCGATAACACAAAAAAGTCAATGTAACTTATTTCCATTGGAGTCCTTACTTATTACTATTGTGGTCCTTGACATATTACCATTGTGGTCCCTGACCTGACTAGGCTCGGTCAGTGGCTTAAGCCAGGAGGTGGACCTGCCTTACATGGGCCAGTAGGCCTGCTGTAGTGTTCTTATGTTCTCATTACCACTGGGGTAGTTGCCTTATTATCACTTGGGTTCTTACTTATTACCATTAGGGTCCTTAATATCCAGTGGGGTCCAAGACAGCGGTAAGAAGTTATTACCAATTTATGACATTATTGTTATATTTATGAGGGAATCACTAAGACAACGGGTCAAACAGCACGTGAGGAACGAGATGCAATCAGGTTTGACCCTACAGAGGTAAACCCACACGGGCTCACCTTTACACAACACTACAGCATAATGGCACAATTTTATGTAAACTCTGACTTAAATATTATTTGTACTAACCTGATATATTATTATCTACAACATATTATTATATATTACAGTGGAACCTCAAAAATCGAAAGTATCACATATCGAACATTTCGAAAATAAGACCATTTTTCGGATAAACTGTGTCCCTATTATCGAACGCACCCCTATTTTCGGACCGCCGGGTACGGGACCTGTCCGCTGGCCCGCTCTGTCCGCGTCCCCGCGAGCAGTCTAGCTTTGTTTATGCTTGAGTGAACACTAACCTGCAATCTCATTCACACATTTTACGATTATTTAATTGTATTTAGTGCTTGTGGGGCTGTGAAATAAGCTGCCATGGGCCCAAAGAAACTTGCTAGTGGTACCCCTGTGGTAAAGAAAGTGAGAAACACCATAGATGTGAAGAAGGAAATAATACAGAAGTATGAGATTGGTGTGAGACTTGTTGAGCTTGCCAGGATGTACAGAGGACTGTGGACAGTTATTTTGTGAGACAGAAACAGACGACTGTGGACAGTCATTTTGTGAGACAGAAACAGACGACTGTGGACAATCATTTTGTGAGACAGAAACAGACGACTGTGGAGTTATTTTGTGAGACAAACAGACGATTGTGGACAGTTATTTTGTGAGACAGAAGCAGACGACTGTGGACAGTCATTTTGTGAGACAGAAACAGACGACTGTGGAGTTATTTTGTGAGACAAACAGACGATTGTGGACAGTTATTTTGCGAGACAGAAACAGACGACTGTGGAGTTATTTTGTGAGACAAACAGACGATTGTGGACAGTTATTTTGTAAGACAGAAACAGACGACTGTGGATAGTTATTTTGAGAGACAGAAACAGAGGACTGTAGACAGTTATTTTGTGAGACAGAAACAGAGGACTGTAGACAGTTATTTTGTGAGACTGGGGTCCAATGACTCTCAAGCTGGTCCTAGTGGCATTAAAATACAGAGAAGGAAAGCAATCCCAGAGAGGACTTTGATACCGGAAGTTCTCATGGAGGGAGATTCTCCTTCCAAACAATAACCCAAACTCCCTCTCTCCTCCTCCCTATCTTCCAGATGCCATCACCTCCAAAAAAGGAAGTAAAATGTTTTTTATTTACTTCATAATTAAAGACTATGCATTTGTTTGTGTTATGTAAAATGTAATTAATCTCCTAAATGTTTATTTATTGAAATTTTTGGGTTTTGGAAGGATTTAAGTTTCCATTATTTTTGGGAAAAATTTTGAATTTCAGACTTTTCGATTTTGAATAGCTCCTGGAACGGTTAAAATTTGAAATTTAGGGTTCCCCTGTATATACAAAATACAGTAAACCTTTAGTAACAAACCTTGCAAAAAAAATTGTAAAACAAAATTGATATAAAAATATACAAACCCAAAATAGCAAATAAAAAAAAGTAAACTCATATAACAAAAATTTGTAAAAGTAAACCTTGATATAACATCAATATAGCAACCCCGATAAAAATAAATATAAAACTTTATTAGCACATGGCCATTCCACCCAAAGGGCCCGGGGCCCAAAAAAAAAAAAACTTTTACCCTCATTCACTCATCACTGTCTTGCAGGTGGGGGCAGGGCTGGGTCTCGACCTGCAACCCAATTAGGAATACGCCAAAACTCCGACCCCATGAAAGCTGACAGCACAAAGTCTTGACCCCAGTGACTGACTAAAAAGTCTTGACCCCATGCTGACTAACAGCTCTCCCCGCCCCCGTGACTGATAAACTTAAGCCCAAAATACAAGACTAACAGCTAAAAGCCCCCGTGACATGACTAACGCTCTAATGACCACCAGTGGGCTGACTAAGCCTTTCCCGACCACCCGTGAATGCTAACAGTTCTTGACCCCAATAAATGTAAGCTCTCCCGACCACAGTGCGACGGGATTTCTAACGTCTCCGCCCCCGGAATGATAAAGGGTCTGAACCCCAAGACAGAAAACACACAAAGTCCGACCCCCAGGATGCAACCTTAATGACCCCCATGACAGATAAAAGCCTAACAGCCCCCTTTACACCAGTAAAACAACCGCACTCAGCTCTCCTGACCACCCGTGAATGATAACAGCTCTTCTGACCCCCCCGGCACGATAACCAAATAAAACTCTTTTGACCCCAAAAGACAGCCTAAAAGCCTAAAAGCCTCCGACACCAGTGACAGATAACAGCTCCCTGACAACCCTGACTCTAAATCACTAACCTTCTGACCAGTGCATGCTGACAGCAACGTCTCCGACCACCCGGAATGACTAGTTTCTGCCACCATGCCCTGACAACGCAAAAAGTTCCCCGACCACCCGTGCAGACAACACTCTCCCGACCCCAGGTGACAACAGCTCTCGACCCCTAGGACAGATAACCGCAAAGCTCCCTGACACCATGAATGACAAAAAGTTCCCGACCCCTGAAAGAAACAGCTCTCCCGACCACCAGTGACATGCAAAAAGTTCCGACCCCCAGTGACATGACTACACATAACAGCTCCCTGACCTAGTGACATGACTAACAGCTTCCTAACCACCAGTGGGCAGATAAAGCACTAACGCTCTCCTGACCACATGACTGACTAACAGCCTTCCTGACCCCAGTGACTGACAACAGCTCTCTGCCCCAAAGGCAACTAACCGCCTCCTGACCCCAGTGACATGACTAAAGCCTTCTACCCTCAGTGACTGACAAAGCTTCCTGACCACCATGACTGACAAACACTAAAAGTCCTGACACCAGTGACATGGTAACCTTTCCCGACCCCCAGTGCATGACAAAAGCTTCCTGACCAAAAGGACTTCTAAAAGTTCCCGACCACGTGACATGATAACAGCACTAACGCTTTCCTGACCCCCAGGACATGATAACAGCCTCCGACCACCATGACTGATAACAGCAAACGTTCCTGCCCCATGACAGACTAACGCCTTGACCCCAGTGACGATAACAGCTTTGCCACCAGTGCATGACTAAAGGTCTCGACCGTGAATGTAACAGCTCTCCTGACCACCAGTAACATACAAAAACTCCTGACCACCAGTGCATGACAACAGCTCTCCTACCACCGTGACAGCTAACAGCTTCCAACAGTGAATGACAACAGCCTTTTTGACCCTGTGAATGACTAACAGCCTTTCCCGCCACCCGTGCAGACAAAAGCACTAACAGCTCTCCTGACCCCCAGTGACATGGAAAAGCTTTTTCCCGAAACCAGGACATGACTAACAGCCTCCGCCAACAGTGACATTACTAACGCTCTCCTGACCCATGGAATACTAACCCAAAACTTCTCCTGACCCCTCCCCCCTTAACATAAGTAACGCTTTGCACCGTGACATGACTAAAGCTCTTGCCACCGTGACATGACTAAAGCTCTCCTGACCAAGGTGAAAACCCCCCCTTAACCTACAGTCTCCTGCCACAGTGCATGACTAACGCTTCCGACCACAGTAAAGGGCCCCTGACTAAAGCTCCCCGACCACCTGCCTGAAAACCCCCCTTACCCCCGCAAAACAAGCGCAGTTTAACGTGCTGAAGCGGTTTAACAACTGTGACGTCAGGTGAGCGCGACAGTGCCAAAAGGTGTAAATAGTTAAGGTCATAACCCCAAAGTAACGGGAAAAGAACACAAAGTAAATTCCCGCTGCTTTCTGTAAAAGTAACAATGACTCTCTAGGGGCCTTTAATTAAATTTTTTATAAAAATAGTAAAACACTGGTAAACACTTTGGGAAAAAATGTAAAACACTAGTAAAAAAATGGTAAAACCTAGTAAAACATGGAAAACCTAGTAAAACACTATAAAACACAGTAAAAAAAGTAAAACTGGTTTTAAAAAACCCAGTAAAACAGGTTTAACACTGTAAAACACGGTAAAACACTAGTAAAAACACTATAAAAAAACTAGTAAAACATAGTAAAAAAACCCGGTAAACACTAGGAAAACATGGTTAAACAGTAAAAACTGGTAAAACATAGTAAAAACCTAGTAAAACACTAGTAAAAACTGGTAAAAAACTGGTAAAAATTAATAAAAAATGGTAAAACCTAAAATTAAAAAAACCTGGTAAAAAACACTGGGAAAACATTAATAAAAACACTGGGAAAACACTGGTAAAAATTATAAAAAACCCCGTAAAAATATGTAAAAAAATTAAAAAAAACACTGTAAAACATGGTAAAACTGAAAAAAGGTAAAAACTGGGAAAACTGTAAAAAATGGAAAAAAATGTAAAACATGGTTTAAAAAATAAAAAACCTGTAAAAACTGGGAAAAATTGTAAAACTAAAAAAATTGGTAAAACATGTAAAAAAATAGAAAAACATGGAAAACATGGTAAAACACTAGAAAAAATTGGAAAACACTAGTAAAAAAATGGTAAAACACTAGTAAACCGGGAAAACACTAGAAAAAAACGGTAAAAAATGGGAAAAAACTAGTAAAACATATAAAAATAGTAAACAGGTAAAACATAGTAAAACATTGGTAAAACACTAGTAAAACATGGAAAACATGGTAAAAACAGTAAAACCTTTTAAAACATAGAAAAAAACCTAATAAAAATGGTAAACACTGGAAAAAAACCGTAAAAAAACTAGTAAAAACTGGTAAAAACTGGTAAAACACTGTAAAACACTAGAAACCTATAAAACATGGTAAAAACTGGAAAAACATGGTAAAAAACGTAAAAACTAGTAATACATGGTAAAAACTAGTAAAACACTGGGAAAAAAACCCGGTAAAACTAGTAAAAAAATGGTAAAACTGGTAAAACAAGGTTAAAACACTAGTAAAAACTGGTAAAAAAATAGTAAAACATGGGAAAAAAAACTAGTAAAACATGGGAAAACACTAGTAAAACATGGTAAAACACTAGTAAAACACTAGTAAAAAATGGTAAAACATGGTAAAAACTATAAAAAACTGGTAAAAACATAGTAAAACACTGGTAAAACCTGGTAAAACACTGTAAAACATGGTAAAAAACTGGTAAAAAAATAGTAAAACAGGTAAAAAAATGGGAAAACCTAGTTAAAAAAAATGGTAAACACTAGTAAAACACTGGGAAAACATGGTAAAACACGTAAAACACTGGGGAAAAAATGTAAAACACTAGTAAAAAATGGGAAAAAACTAGAAAAAATGGTAAAACACATTTTAAAAAACGGTAAAACATTTGAAAAAAAATAAATAAAACAGTAAAACATTTGGTTTAAAAAAGTAAAACATTGGAAAACATAAAACATTGTAAAACCAGTAAAAAATGGTTAAAAACTGGAAAACATAGAAAAACCTAGTAAAAAACTGGTAAAACACTGGTAAAACACTGGTAAAAACTAGTAAAACACTAGTAAAACACAATAAAACAGTTAAAAATTTGGTAAAACAGTAAAACATTTAAAACATAGTAAAACACTGGTAAAAACTGGTAAAAAAACTGTTAAAAAAGGTAAAAAAAGTAAAAATGGGAAAAACACTGGTAAAACACTGGTAAAAAAATAGTAAAAAAATTAAAACCTGGAAAAAAATAGAAAAAATGGAAAAACTAGTAAAAAATGGGAAAAAAATGGTTTAAAAAACCCGTAAAAACAGGTAAAAACTGGGGAAAAAACTAGTAAAACACGGTAAAACACTGGTAAACACTGGTAAAAACGTAAAAACTGGTTTAAAAAAAGGTTTAAAAAATAGTAAACATGGAAAACGTGGAAAAAAAAAACACCCCCCCGGTTTTAACCGGAAACATTTTTTTATATCCATATCAATTTCCCCTTTATCTTTTTACAAAAAAAATTTTAAAAAATTTGCAGATACCTCTTATTTTATTAAAAAACGCGTCCATAATTTAAACTTTGCCGTTTTTCAATTGGACTTAAGCCATATGTTTCAAAAAAGGCCTAGGAAAAAAACATTTTTTTTAAAAAAATTGTTTTCCCCAAACTGCCAAATACTTAAAAAAAAGTTTTTTAAAAATTTGGATTTAACTTTATATACGTAACAAGATAACGG